CAGTAAAATAAACATTTAATTAAAAATTGCCTGTTTTTGTTTATATCTGTTTTTTTTCTGTTTTGGTTTTTAAATTTCTTCATGGAAATTGTGTTATGATAATGAATGTATTTGCTAAAAGTTAGAATAAAATGTTTAAAAATACCTAGAAAATGTGCATATAAATTATAATTTAACAGTAAAAAATAAAATTAGGATCTATTTTATAAAGAGTCAGTGTTTTGTGTTTACATAATATTTTGTTTTGTTTTGTTTTGCGAGTTGGACCATTTTCGTGAGAATCACCCACCCCTGAATGTAGACTTAAAGATTTAAAAAGCAGTGATGAAAATGTAAGGTTCACCTTAAAAACATCAAAGCCATTGGGTCACATATGAGGTCATTTTGATGTCTGAATATTTTGACATACAGTTAAAAGCGACATAAAGACAGGGGGGTGATTTACAATTAGGCAATACTTGGCAGTTGCCTAGCGCCCAAAGTTTCTTGGGGCCCCATAAAGCTCTGTTTAAGTCAATGGTTAATTCCTTATTTGTGCACATCAATTATGTTTTTGATAAAAAATCCATCTAAAAGCAGCAAACTCTGCTCTCCAGAGCGAGTAGATTGTTAACCCCGCCTCCTGCTCTCCTCTATCTTGTCTGCTGTCATGATTCATGCAGCTATTATTTCATCCAAATAAAAAATGGAGAACAGATAAGCAGATCATGGCTCGTCTGCAGTGAAAAGAAGGACTGGGTTATTTACTTTTGCCTTTTTGGAAACACAGGAAGGAGCAATCAGCTAAGTGAGCTTAGAGCTTGGAAAAAATCTTTCATTCCTTTAGAGACAGCATGAAAAGTCAGCTGAGTACAAAACATAGAGAGGAAAACAAGAAGAAAAGGGAAAAGAAGAGAGGGACAAAACCTGGAACAGATAATGGATGTCTATCCTATTAACATTTTTGGTCTGTTTTATGTGTTGTCTTCTCAATTCAGAGGGCCCCCTGCCTGTTTTTACCTATGGCCCCAAATTTCCTAAACTCGCCCCTGCACACAGAAACAGGGAAACTGTAAAAATTCCTGCACATAATATTCCAATACACACACAGTAGAGCATTAGGAAATGAATTGGTCAGTGTACACACACACACACACACACACACACCTTCCTACATATCGACATTAATATTGCCTGATTCGTTTCCTGTGATGCCCAAGCAGCAGGACAGTGCGCACACAGGTACACACACACACACTTACAGGAGAGCAGAGCAGTGACAGCAACAGCAGTCATGTGTCTCCGAGCTGTTACCAGCCTCATGCCTGTCTGTCTTAGGCGCGCGCCAACACGCACGCCTCGACTCTCCTGTGGTGAGGGTAGAATCCCAGCAGCCCCCCACCTCCCACCCCCGCAAAAAAAAAAAAAAAACCCGGGCCACCTGCAGCATGCATTGAGGAAGAAAAACGTACAAATTTGAAACCGTTTTACCGTTCTTTCCGCGTTGGGTCCTGGTGGATGCTGGGCTTTGTGGGCGCCATCTTCCTCTAACAATTAATTGGATTTATTACTTTCCCTCTTCCTCTTCTTAGCTCTCTATATTGACACAGAGCCGCGGCGCTGTGCGGCGCCCTGACAGCAATGCGTCATGCTCTGCGTGGTAAGACAAAAGCCATATCTGTGTTTGAAAGTAGCGCGTGCGTGCTCCCCGTGTGCGCGTCCTTCCCTAGGTTGGGCGCTCAGGATCGTGGAAAGAACGGCTCGTGGGGGTGAATGCTGGGGCAAGGATGCGGCCGCACGAGCATGCCAAGCGGCATGAGGAGGGGAGCCAGCCGGGGGTGGATGCCTCTTAGATGCCGCTGCCCTGGCTCCGTCTGTCCGTCTCTTTATCTGTAGCTTATCTGTCGCACACGCATTGTGTCTTTGGCACTTCACAAGAATTTCCAGCATGCGCTCCAGCAGAAAAAAATGAAGGATACACAGGCGCATCAAATCTCCTCAATCTTGCCGCTTCCCCGGCTTCTGTTGCCATAGACTTCCCGCTGCACAGCAGTCTCTCCAGTCAAAGTCCTTCAGATTTTTTAAGCACTTTTCCCTCCTCTGGCTGATAATGGGGAAAAAGGGACACCCCGCATCTCTAGTATTTTCTCCAGCCCAGCCGCAACAATGCCACACAGTAACATCTGGACTCAGCTTGTGTGTGTGCGTGAGTGTATGGGCTCCCGTTTTGACATCAGAGTGAGAACCACTTTCCCATTTCAACATCAAATTAAGGACTCTGGTCTTCACGCCCAAACCTGCTAAGGTTTAGTGCTAATTGGGTTTAGTTTAGGGTTAACTAAACTAAACTGGTAATAGTTAGGGTTAAGGAAAGGGTTGAAAATGACTGGAGTCAACACATGGTCCTCAGTACATATAGCAAGACGAGAATGTGTGTGTTATATGATTTTATATATAATATTATTCTTGTATTTTCCATCTTTATAGTTGTTTTTTCAGATTAAGCTGTTAATGTAGGATCATGATTTATTTTTTTTTTATTGAAACTATTTTACCTGAAAAAGTGGCAAAGGTATGATGAGTAATACTTTCAACTCTAACTTCATTCAATTCCACTTTCTTCTTTATTAAATAAACTCAACATGATATAAGTCTTCCTTGCTCATTTGAAAATCCATCTTTATTCTGCTGCTTTATTGAGGTAAAGGTAAATAAGCATTGCTCTTCGATTTCAAGGTTTTAAGACCTGCAGAAATAGCCCAAGATACATAAATAGCAGTCTAAATGTAAAACAAGTATGTACTCATGTTCTATGCTTTAGACCACCATATTATACTTTATCCACGATGCATATATTTGCAACTCAGATGTTGCTCATTATCTTACAAAACTTGCCACATTTTCACAATTTTTCCACTACATATAAATTGCACCTTTTTGATGTATTATTTATCACCTGTTCAGTGTGCTGTGTGATTAACCCCTAGGATGCAGCTCTGTAAGCCCAGGGTCCTCCCTCTCCCTGCACCAATGACCTGTCAAGGTCAAAAGCATGCTATTATCAGCACACATACAGGGCTACAGGTGCTGCAGTGGCAGAAAATACAGACAGTCGATGGAGAAACCTGAGTTCAGGTTGTCCCTCAATTAGAGCCCAATTCCCCATTAGATCAACATGTGCCAGGGAATCTAAAAGTCCTCAACACATTCTATTATCTTGCTCTATTTCTTTTTTTTTTTTTTGCCAGCTGCTACAAAATAAAAAATGTGATATGATTTTTTTCACTGAAACTGAAAAAAAACAAGCTACCAGTAGTCCAGTTGTTAATTTACCTTTTATTTTCTGCCAACATATAGACAGACTGGAGGAGACTTCAAACAAAGATCGTTATATCTGATTCAAAACAGAAAGGCCATAGGTTTGACACCGCTTCAACCGTGATCTGACCTGACTGCATTCAAATTCCCAACAAATTTCTACGGCAGATCATTTCAGGGGTCTGCGATAGTATAAAACCGTTTTCCTCATTTATTTATTTTTTATCTTTGAGATCGAGACATCCGTGCTCCTGCTGGTAGTTTGCAAAGTGAAACTATGGCATTTGGAGAGTGGCTGTATGTTTTTATTCCCAGTTTAGAGAAAGCTCCCTGTCTCTGCATGTCAACTCTGTTTACTGGGAGTAGTCGAACAAAGGCGATGTGGATAATGGAGCATAATATGTAAACACATTAGCTCCCAGCTGTTTGATAGGGGAAACACTATGAACAGAGAAAAAGGAAAAAGGCCGGCTCGACAGCAAAGCAATAAAGACATGAGCTGCAAAGACTAAACGTGCCTTTATTGCTGTTGAAAAACCTAATATAAACACCAAAAAAATATTTCAATAAACAAGCAAATAATTAGAATAGACCCTAGAGAAGATTACAAGGATTCTGAAAGACCTGTTGGCACTCAAATGACAATTAAGTTGAATTTAACTTAAATAAAGGTACAAACAGATTTTGGCCAAATTCCCCAAAATACATCACCTCTTCTTAAACATTTGAAATGGGAAAAAAAAATGTATTTGTTAAATATCTGTTTATTTGCCTTTCTGTTGGTAACAGAGGTGAGATGGTTTCGCTGCGGTACCTGCCGTGATTTATGCCATAAATACTTTCCATAACTCTGATATTATTGTCGACAAGGAAAGGTTTTAGAGGTAAAAAGGTAAAAGTGTATGTTGGAGATTTGTTTGGTCCTTTTTTGCATTTAGATTATTAGGGGAAAAGCTGCCATAACAGAAGGGTTATGGTTCTTACTGAAAGCAGGGAGGAAATTTGAAAAGTAAAGGACAGCGTTGATATTTTTCTTCTGACAACACTCATCTTTCATCTTTAAAATGCATTTTGTCATATGTTTTAGAACTGAAAAGCAAAACATCGTTTCCCATTTTTCCCACTGAAATTCCAGATTCCACGGGTTTATCTATACAGGTAACCCTAAGAATGTGCAATAATCCAACCATGCTGTCGATTTGTCTAGTTTGGAAAATGCAGCTCTCAAAATCCCACTTTTTCCAAACACACATAATGTTTTTAAGCATTTCTAAAATGATAAATAAAAGTATAAAGATGTTCACAATGGTAAATTTGTCTTATGATTTAACAGGTGATTAACAGGTGCAACTCTCCTCTTTTTTTTGTTAAGGAAAAGGTAAGTACTCTATGCATGCAGAACCATAAGGTAGATGGAAACAAATATCTGTAATTTCTTAATATTCTGACCGGGATGCAAAAATAAAAATGATAATCACCCCAAGTTATCCTTTGTACACATCCATTGAGTTAAAAATGCCCAACTGCTCCTGAGGAAAACACACTTAAGGAACAGTAAAATTAAGGTTGTATAGATCTGTGTGAGCAGAATTAAATCCACTTTTTAATGTGCCATTTAAAATGTGTTCATTCTGATATATGTATATTTTTATTCCCACAACTATGATGCTACAGGTCGACAATCCAGCTGAGTCTCCACTCACCTTTGCTGGTATGCGGACATTCCCTGTGGGGTCCCGTTCGATGCTCCAGGTACCGGAACCGGCACTCGACCTACCGGAGGTCCGGTCACCATCCCAGCGGCTCCACCTCCTCCACCGCCAGACCCGACTCCTCCGGTCGCCGAGGCTGTAACCTGGACGCTGAAATCCGGGAAGATCCTGATCATGGTCCTGGTTGTCTCTCGTGCGCTCTTTTAATCTCCTTTGTTTGATCTGTTTTCTTCAACAAAAATGCCACTGATCACTGAGATCACTGAGGAAATGGGTGTTGGACTGACCAATAAAATTCAAACACAGACCATAACAGCAATATCCTTTTATTTTTTCCCCCTCAAATCTAACTTTAGAGTAGAGCTCGGATCCTGGTCGCGGTGCATAAAGTACAATAGGGATTTTATCTATTGTAAAAATTCAAAAACATAGTCTGTCAGCATTAATATTATTACTATTAACATGTTCCTGCTGCTGCTGCTTCTCCTCTTGCCACAGGTAGGATAATAGTCCCGGTATCCGATGCGCTGTTTGCAACTCTCCTCTGAAACTCAACAAATGGGAAAAGTCTTGATTTCACCGAAGCGAGGCTGACAGGACCCTGAAATCGCAGCCGGTACAGAACGCGGGTGCCTCCGCCGGAGCCCCCGCCGCTAGAAGCATCCAGTTCCCGGATCGTCCTCCCTGTGGTGCCCGCTGGCTGTTGTTGCAGGGAAGCTGGAGAAGCCTGGATTAGACAGTCGGTCAGTCAGCAGCAGCAGCAGCTCGCCAATGAGGTGCAACACAGCGAGTGTCGGTATGTCAATGCGCGGCTGCGTGTGTGCGTCATGTTTCTGTGTCTTTGCTTACACACAGCAGCAGACACCCAAACAAACGGACGAAAAAGAAACAGGGGAGCGGGAGGGAAGCTGTAGCTCTGGTTTAGGTTTATATATATATATATATATATATATATATATATATATATATATATATATATATATATATATATATATATATATATATATATATATATATATATATATACGCACACTTTTCTTCCTTTTTGTTAGGTTACTCTTAATTATAAACTGATTCTATGTAACAGTCGGTTAGGCTCTAGAAGTGTAATAGTAATAAAACAAATAAAGACAACGACAGGAAGTATGTCTAGTTTGGATTTCCCCCATGATGAATTTGTGTCACCTTTCTTAACAAAGTAAAATTAGATGTAGTTTCTCCTTGAATCTGTACAACACCTGACGTTTTTGTTAATGATATGTTTGTGCGCCTTTCAGTTTCAGTGCTGTGAAACTATGAGACAGAAGGTCTTTTCTCTCTAACAAGGGCGTAGGTTTGATTTGAACTTTGGTAGGGACACTATCAGTCTGGTGTCATTGGTGCTATGCAATATGCATGCCCTTTTTTATGCTCGATGTGAGCATCCGTACTGATAAGAGGAATTCATTGTTAAAAGAGAAAAGCAACATTTTGCTCCATTAATAAAAATGTTATAAGCTCTACACTCATTAGATGCTGTTTATCAATGTTTGAAGTATCACCGGCTCTGATGAATGTGGAATTAGGACTGTTTTCCACTTTGAAAATGGTTTCATTTGAACGACTAAGAGAGAAGGTAAATACAGTATTTTCTTTTGAAGATATAGAATTGTGCAGAGTTAAACCCCACTCTAATATTTGTACCTACTATGCTCTCTCTGTATCAAGCAAAATAATACATTCATTAAAATATTAACTTCACTATAAAAGTTGAACATCTGGGCTGTAGTTACTCTGTGTAGCCAATTTCATGTATTTCATCTGGGGCTGAAAAAAATGAATCATATTAATTGATTATTTCAATAATCGTCAACTAATTTAGTACGTGATTCATCATTAACTGGAGTATAGAGACTTTAAAACATACAGTAATATAAATGTAAAATGTGCCTTTCCCCACAGAGCAACCCACTTAGATCAGTTATTATATCAAAATTGTAAAAATAAAAACAAAAAAATGAAAACTGTAATATCAACTTAATATCAGTAAAAAGGAAACCCTCACATTTTCTTTTTTAATTGGCTGTGACTAAGAATCAGAAATGTTGATGGCTTACAGCCTTTATTTGCTCATTTTTCTAGCAGTCTTCAGAACTCCTGGCTGACTCAGAATATTTCGTTTTATAAAAGAAAAAAAATGTTTTTGTTTTTTAGTGTACATGATATTCATTTTTTTTTAATTGGGACTAGTTTTGTAGCCTAATATTAATTGTTGTAACCGCTGCATTCTAGTGTGAATATATTTTCAATATTGTGCTCCAAGCACACGCGGACTAGAAAACAGCCAATCAGAGAGAGAGAAGGCGGAACTTAAGGCAGAACAACCAATGAGAGTGGAGTTAAACAGCGCAGCACAGTTCCATGCGCTGCTACATGAAAAGGACAGGAGAGACCAGGCAGAGGAGCTGCGAGAGGAAAAGAAGCCACTGCTGCAACAACTACTGCTGTAAATTATAAACATGTTGCTCACATCCAATTATTGGTTGGGACAATTAGGACGGTTCAAAATTTTGGTAGGGACATGTCCCTATGGTCCCTATGCAAACCTACGCCCATGCTCTCTAATGTGATCCCAGTTGAAGACCAGCCTAGTCTTTCTCGACTATCCTCGCTGCGCTCACTGAGTTGCGTGAGATTGGACTCTCGAATAAAGTCATGTTCAGAGGCGGTCTCTCTCTCTCTCTCTCTCTCTCTCTCTCTCTCTCTCTCTCTCTCTTTCTTTAAAAGTCTGACATAATTATTAATTATTTCCTTAGGAGGATGGATTGATGGAATGATGGAGGGAATGAATGGATAGACAGACTGGCGGACTGGCGGACGGACAGACAAATAGATAGATAGATAGATAGATAGATAGATAGATAGATAGATAGATAGATAGATAGATAGATAGATAGATAGATAGATAGATAGATAGATAGATAGATAGATAGATAGATAGATAGATAGATAGATAGATAGATAGATAGATAGATAGATAGATAGATAGATAGATAGATACCTAACTTGAGGTGTGATTTCATTTGGATGACCAGTATCTCCTAGAAGACACCTTAAGCTGACATTGCCCAAAATGCAACCCAACTTAACAAAGTAAAGTGGTACTTTGGTATGTATGTATGTATGTATGTAAAACATGCTTCCTGTGTCAATGCAATCAGGGCCGTAACAACCAATGAAGTCGCAGAGGCCGTGTCCTCTGTATTTTATTGATTTATTCGTTGCTGTAATTGTGATATAAACAAAAATAAATTACAGTGAAACTGACTGTAGCAAGATGATATCCCACTAAACCGTGAGGTGTAAAAAGCCACAAGTAGCGCGACTGTTTAATCATCTTAAGACATTGTAAACATGAACTGTCACTATGGTAACTACTATAGGCAAGCTACTGCCTTGTCAGTCCATCAGTCCAAGTACAGAGTTGAAATAACTCCATCAGTACTGGTCGTTAGTCAATTCACCGACCGAACCAACATCCATTATGCGATTCAGTGGCGTAACACCACAACAATAGGCCCGTAAGTAACATTATCTGGATGGGCCACATATGAAGCAAAACATGATAAAGGTTCAGGATATGGTGACAGTTCCAGAAATCGGCCAAGAAGATACAATTTTGCAATTAGTATATGATCACACATCACAAGGAAAAATAGTGATGGCGCACCTTGAATGGAACCATTGTTGACAGCGCACCACCACATGTTACAGACATCCCAAGTTCCACAAACTAATTTCTTTTCTGGAATCCACTTTAGTACCTCTTTTGGGTATCCACCGTCGCTAACACATTGTACCTAACGTTAATGGTTTTAATCTAAGCTCTGGGTTACCCATGTTGTGATTTTAATGTTCAATGCCCATCCAGGTTGGATGCCACATTAATGCTGTGGATTTGTATTCTATTCAATTCCCAGCCAGCTGGGAGTTTATATTTCTGACAATTTAATATGTTTTTTGCCCTCCCCGTAAGGGGTGGCAAATATCTTATTTAATCAGATATTATTTTGATTGTTATATATTGTTTATGAACACACGCCCTACTGGCTATGTGTTAGAACCATAAATGAAAGAGGGATTCTGTTGGGATCCAGAGGCTTGCCCACCAGAGTGCGCCGAGGATCCCTTCCTGATGGTTTGTGCTGCTGTTAGGATCTGGGGTGCTGTCTACCTTCCTCCACCAGAGGGCGTACTGGATCTCCTGAAGCTGGAGCTGACTTCACCAGCTGCTTCTCATTTGCTCATCAGGGGACCAGTACTTAAGTGGGCTGTGGACAACACTCCGGTTCCAGAGTGTTAGTCAGTCATGGTACAGCAAACCCTGAGCCAACCAGCCTGTCTGATTCTCTGACACCCTTGAAACCAGAACCTGAACCTAATCAGTTTTTGTCTTCTCTGCTTCTTAGGAAGAAACCTGACTGAACCCTGGAACTCTGGAAGAGTTTCTCTGCTGAAATCTGCCTGCCGGCCCTCAGGAGCTCATCTGAAGAATCTAACTGTCTGAACCTGCCTGCCCGCCCTCAAGAAGAGGATCGGAAGAAACTCTGAATCAGAACACTGATAAGTCTGAAGTCGAGCCCTGCCTTTGCTCAGCCCTCAGCCTGCCGTGGCTCCTCCTCTCCTGTGGAACCAACTACCAGTTTTAGTCCGTGATGCAGACACCCTGTCTACTTTTAAGGCTAGACTTAAAACTTTCCTTTTTGATAACGCTTATAGTTAGAGTGGCTCAGGTTATCCTGAGCTATCTCTATAGTTATGCTGCTATAGGCTTAGACTGCTGGAGGACATAGGGACCCCCATTTCATCATTCTGCTTCATTCTCTCTCTGTTCTCCTATTCTGCAGAATCTGTTAGTTCAATCTCTAACCTTCTGCTCTCTCTGCTTTTCCTCAGAGTAGCTTTGCCTCGTCTGTTCCTGTTTGGCTGTGACGTCATCCTGGAAAGAAACATCAGCTGTGCTGCTTCCATCAACACCCTTGTTTATAGATGTTGGAGATCGGCCTGTTTTCCAGTGTGGTCCTGTTTCTCTGACCGTGACTGAGTGGATGTGCTCTCTTCGTCCTCTGGCATGGGAGCTGCCTTGGAGCTCGTCTGCCTGGCTGTGTGTTTCCTGGACGGGGCCGCCTTTTACAGCTGCTTTTTGTATCTCTGCTTCTGTCTCCTTGAACCCCAGTCGGCCTCAGCAGATGGCCGCTCACACTGAGCCTGGTTCTGCTGGAGGTTTCTTCCTATTAAAAGGGAGTTTTTCCTCTCCACTGTCGCTACAAGCATGCTTAGTGTGAGGGATTGTATTTGAGTCAATGAGTCGATGCAATCAACTGGTTTTCCTTAGATAGAAAACTTTGTATCGATTTGACTGTATGATCTGGTTGAACTGTAAAGTGCCTTGAGATGACATGTGTTGTGAATTTGGCGCTATATAAATAAACTGAATTGAATTGAATTGACTTATCATGTGACTGGCCTGTGACTGCTTTTGGAAGCCTTGGCTGAAAAGGGGGGGTTGCAGAGATCTTAGAGCTGTTCATTCACCAGAGCTTTTATCCTCTTCTCTGGTCATCATGTCAAGATGAAATATGGTTCCCACACTGGTTCCCAATGTCCAAAAAGCATGATCATGGCATATGGCACAACACCCATAATTCAAAGGCATAGTGTAAAAAAATAAAATATTTTGTTCTTTTAAGATCTTTATTGCGGTTTGAAACATATTATAAGAGTGTGC